ATCTTTTTGCCTTCCCTAACAGAAATATGTTATCTTCATATTTGCCACATGCTCTATTACTTCAAGAAGGTTGGAAGGTGGCACAGTCATAAAGTGATCTCAACGAACTCCTCGGCGATGGAACAGTCAGGCAAAGCGGAATAAAGAATGGAATCTGCATCTACTGCGGCCCGATTCACCAACAGAAATACTATGGGTTATCAGGTCAATCGCTCGTTCAAAAATTGGCTAACCAACGGGACTTTCGACGGAATGGTTGTTTGATGGCCGACGCAGAGCGTGGATCGCCTCCAGGAGTCGGAACTCTTTTGCCTGTGGAATCCGACTGCCGAGCAAATGGGAAGCAGTGCTTGACTTAGATGGTGGATAGGTTCCGAAGTAATTATTTGAACATGTCTTTGCCAAATATTTCTATCGTTTCTCCAGTGAAACTGCTGGAAGAAATCCGCAATACATATATATGGTTTATCAGAAAGTTTTGATAGGGTTGAAATTTTTTCTGTTTTGTTTTAAAACTCGGCAAACAATGCAAGCTAATCAATAAGATAATAACCATCGTTAGTTATAACATTGTCCCACCTAACGGGCAGGTCAGCGATTCCCTTCTCACAAACTGGGAAGATTGAAAAGATAGGAACTGGACTCAGCTTCCGAGCTAGGATCTCTTGGCCTATGTGAAGCCTAGCGTTGCCACGTGGAGCTTCGAGGCCGTTTTCTTGAAGCTCCTGTTGTGGACTAGCGTAACAGGGAGCGGTGACGGTATGGCCTTGCTTGAGCAGTTCGCAGCAGCATCTTTGAATCCCAGAAACAGCAAAGGAGAAACTTCTGGGATAGAGGCCGGATTTGGCTTGCGTCTGCTGCTGTTCTCCTCACGGGAGCCAAACAGCGCNGTGCTTATTAGCGTCGATGGGATTCAGCTTTCTTCTCCAACAACAAGGTCCCCCAACAATTCTATTCGATTTGGGCGGAGAAAGGGAGACTGCCAAATGGATACCCGGATCAACCGCATACTACCGGTCAAGACATGAAGTATCCATCGAGTCAACACTTTTCTGTAACCGAGGACCTGGATGCTGCGACCGACGACTGTTAATTGGGCTCACCTAAGTCTCGTCGCAAGACTGTGGGAGTTAACTTCTCGATCCTATTTAACGGTGTCGAGAATGGCGGAGTTGTCGACGGCGGAGTGGCGTCCCGACCGAGGCTTGTTTTCGAAGCTCGCGTCTGCTCAATGAAGCGAGCGAACCAGCGATGTAGCGTAGCTATGGAAGTGGTGTCTTTCCCCATACAATGTTGAAGTTACAAACAATTTCCGTAGTTCTGGTGCAGCGGCGCACTCCACCACTCGAAAAGATGATGTATCGAAAATGGTCTCATGGAATTGACATCGTGATTTAAGTTAGAGGAGGAAGCACGGTTATATACATATACTCTTCACGGACAAGGTTCTAGAACGTTCTATCACTACCACATGGTACGTCATTATTATCGAGTGATATTCGAAAGTTCAGGCACTTTCGGAAAACCCTATTAAGCTTTTTGACCATTCTAGTATAATATAAATATTANTATATATATATATATATATATTATTTTGAATGCATGAGAATTATTCAACAACGAATAAACAAACAAATAAATAAATACATCTCATAACAATGTTTATAAAACCTGCGACCAAAATGGTAAAGAAATTCTTATTCGACTCAATTTCGGCTTTTATCGCCTTCGTAGTCTGGACTCTTCAAGATGGTTGTTTCCCGTCGTTCATTTTACAAACAAACCTGCAAAAAACGTTTTCCTAGATCCAATGTTTCTAAACAGGCATGATACCCACAGATACTTTCTAACCCACCTAAAGAAAACCAGTCCCAAAGTGATTAACAATAATGAGCAGAGAGTAATGAGGGATGGGTTCTAACATCTGTCTTTGATTTTCCAGACTCTGACGAAGGCAATTAAAGCCGAAACGTAAGTCGAATGAGAGTTCCTTTGTCTTCTTGGTCGCAGGTTTTGTGAGACAGTTTTATGAGATTTGTTCAAAGCCATTCCAGATTCATTGAGAGTCGAACTCGTTTCAAATATGATACATATATAATGTATAACACCCAAATGCACATATAATCTTTAGGAAGAGTTGAAGGTGGCAGCTATGCAGGCAGAGTTATACAGGCAGTATGGAAAAGGATTTGGAAGTCATGAACTTAACGCAAGTGATACGAATAACGGATTAGACATAATAAAGGTGGGAACTTTAATTTGCTCTAATTTTTGCTCTTTAAACAGTCGTTTTCGATGTGATAGCTTCTGTTTTGCTCACAGTTATTCTATTATTTGAGTATTTCATCGTTGAACTCTGTAGACGAAAAATCGTTCCTTGCGAAATTATAAAGTTTGCATAGAATCATTCTTTGTACAAGGTGCCAGTTCCGCAAAACAAGATTTCTCCAGGTTTTGGTAAGTGCAGCTTTACATCTGCGTTCTTAAACGAGGTTCTCTTTGGGGTATTATTAATGAGTAGTATTCCATTCATCAGGGAAGCCATCAGTGTAGTGGCTTTCTTCAGAATACGGAGAGATAAATAGTAACAGAGAAAATTTTGAGTTTTTCTGTAGCTCCATTTATATTATTCCTGCGGTGCTCTCCTATAGCTTTTTTAATTTTTATTTAATTTTTAATTCGAACACCGACATTTCATTTCATGCATAATCTATGTTGCAGAGTCCTCGCCGATCTCCTGCTTCCAATTATACTGATCTCCTCAACGAAATTAAAAGTCTTCTAGATGGAAACATTGACTCAGTAGCTTACGAGGACAATGTTCGGTGAGTTAGTCAATTCAAGTTTGTCGTTATTCAAGCTGAGGTGACTTCATGGACATAACGGTATCAGCTCCCTTTAACACGTAGACGACATCGTCATTTTGACCGAAAGTCAGTCTGTCTCATGGACGATGTCCTTCAGTGGTTGCCAAGAGTACTGCATGCCAGCCGAATGAGGAACAACTCGGATTTTTCCTGTCCCTATTTCTATACTTCCTTGCTAATTCATTAAATTTAACTTTAAAATTTAGTAAATTAGTGAAGAAACACTATAACAATAACAACAACAATAATTTTAGCGTCTACCATAAACCATCTGAATCGAAGGTTTTTATGCTAATGTTAGTATCAAACGAGAAGTCATATTACACATCAAAGCATAATTAGAAAATTAAGTAATTGGTGTCATCTGACAAACTCGACAATTCTGGACACTCTGAAATATTCAAGACAACAGAACTGATTGGTTGTTGTTTCTTAATTGAGCACTTTGTTTTGGTTTTCTCATTTAACTTCTAGTCGCTGTTCGCCATGTGTTCTTGATATGAGGCTCTTTACAGAATCTCTTATCTCTGAACTTCACTTGAGGATCAAAAACAAGCTTTCGCTTAAATGACGGCCTGTTCGTAGGAGTTGGTGCTGTGATGTCATGAGACAGAGCACCGACAATTCTCTTGAAGAACTTGGTCCTAGTTTTTTTTACTTGCTCACAGCAACGAAACCAAGCTTAACCGAAGCCGCCTACGTGATGGGATGATAAAATAGTCTGACGTTCCACTTGCTTGTATTTTTCACGTAAGGTGCGTAAACGGCCATCTGTCGCTAGGATCCGCAAACCCTTTCACCACGTTTTAGTCGGCAACACAACTGGTTTTCCACCAGGCAGGCAGCTTGCATGGTATTTGATAGAAAGTACAGGGATGATTCTTTTGTCTCTACACTTCAGAATCAGTGCTCCCTTCTAGTTCCGCTGAGCGAAGAGTTCATTACGTTTCAGTTCTTGTATTTCAGTGCTGAAGGTAGACCTTCTCGATTTTTTTCTCAAAGAACCTACTAAGTCGGTGTCCTCTTCAGTCTGTGAGCTAGTGGTAAGCTTGTGCACCAGTTATCGGTGCAAAAACACCTGCTTTGCTTCGGGAATCCTTGAAAACCCATATGTCATTCGAATGAGGATAGTCAGTGTAGGTTTATCGTCTGTGTCCCTATTGTTATCACTCGTCGGTGTTGTCTATATAAAATTTTCTTGATCCCGCACAACTGCAAGAACAGAACCGCCTTCGTCATCAGATCGTAGATGTCTTCAGCATCACTCTCGAGCAACAAATTGTCAAGTTTTCTTTCTACGATATAACCGTCACCGACAAAAGAACCCATGTTGACAATAATAATTACAATCCCGGAAGTACCCGGCTTTACTGTTATCTGAACCAATTTCAACTGGATGAACCATCCCTTCGGTTAGTGTCTTCGTTCCGTTCTTGTTCGCGCTGATCGTTCCTATTGCAGTCTCTCCTGAACAGTCTTTCCGATGGCTTTTCACTATTCAGAGCTTCGTACACCAAAATGGTTTAAAATGCCCGAGGATAGGAGAAGTGTGCCTTTCTCATGTTTTTCCTGTTTTCTAGTGCGTCCAATTTTCATACGAGCACTCCGATTCAGTGGTAATCGATAACGGAACGACCAGGCCTGGTGACGTTTAAAATCGCTTTGGATTGCAGATGTACAAAGACCTTAAAAATGAAAAAAAAGCTGTAAGGACAATCTTTCTCACACTGACCCGGTTTCTTCCTCTGGAAGCAGTAAAACAAGCAACAACAGCAAGAGATGGCTACTGAGCCGGGTGAACGTGAGTCATCTATCATGACCCGACCCTTTACTGTGCAGACTTTCGCCTCCTGCTCATGCTAGTGTTAGTTTATGGTGAATATGACGACATGAGCTTTTAACTTCCTTGCACAACAATGCCGTTGATGTTGCTGTTACGAGACATTTTACTCATCCTCTTAGTGCTAGCTCATTAAGTCACGTAAAATTGTAGAGATCTTCAACTCATTTTGAGCAGGAATGCCAAACTCATTTTAGGCCGAAGATTGCTAGTGCAACTGTTAGTGTGCTATTTATAGGCTCCTCTTTCCAATAGACGGGTATTTGGTCATAACCATTGATAAACTCATCGCAATGGTTGGACGGCAGTTGCATTTTTTGGCCACGGGAGCTGAAGGCGAGGAAACGCTAAAGCTTTACCAGCATTACCGCTACGAAAATCCAATATCTGTGTTCAGTCAGTCAATTAAGAAATCAAGGTACTGAACACAGTTGAGTTTCAATTGTTACGTTGATGTATTCTGTTCATTGAGAAATAAATAGGCTTTACTTAGGGTCGAAGAGGAATACGCTCATTCTGCGGAAACTTTCTTCAATTGTCAGAATTGTTTTAAGATATTTGTTATTTATGAAAAGAAACCAGTGGTGACCATAGAACTTGTAGACACAGAGACAGAAGTAAGTTTGGTTAGGTTTCTAACTTAGTGGTGTCCATTGCAAGCTTGAATCGCCGATTTCTAGAGTTTTGTAATATTTGTTTTTTTAAAGCCTGAATCTGCTGCCTTTCTTGGTATTTCAGGAAGATAATGGGGATGGAGAAAATGTTCACCCTAATGGAGAAACTATTGCAGTAGACGCTAGCACTTCATCAGACTCCGATCAGAATGAGGTTTGACATGGATTTTAGGATGATAAGCTCTCTCTTACAATGAATGCACTATAGGAGACCGATGAGGAGCAGCGCAGAAACGTGGGTACAACAGCGGTGTTGAAAACAAACGGTTTGTCTAAGGAAAGAGAACTAGGGCATGAGAGTAGTGGAAATGGGTCATCAGCGAGGAATTCTCTTGCTATAAAAAAACGAAGTGAGTTTGTGTCGAAGTTGTACATAGATCGCGTATGTCCTACCAAATTTTCCAGGTCGGCTTTTTCTTCGACGTAATGCTCGCTTGAGAAATCCCGAAATTGCCGGCGATTTTGTCGTTTTTGGAGGAGAAGGGACACCGTCAATCTATTCGCCCTCTTTCATATGGGAGGGAATTGTGCGGCGCAATCGTGGACGAGGGGTAATCCTCTTGTTGACTATCGTCGACTACTTTCTTTTATTCGGTTTAGAGAGCTTACGATGTCAAAGATGTTATATTCTCTATTTCAAACAAAATTTCTTCTCAAAATAATGTAGCACCACCTTCCTGAGCAGCGTCGTAGAGTACTATGTATTATTTAGTAAATCACTTACTTTTCTCATATCTTCCATAGCACGGAGAAAATAATTTTTTGCCCGAAAGCTCATCTCTTCGTGCATGCAAGAATTGAGCCTTCAATTTCGGATCGAGTTCTATGGAAAGGTGGACGCGCTTCTTCGTTAGGTACCATCTCATCGATCAGACAGTCAAAGAATTAGGGTGATCCCACCCCTTGTACGAATAATACTTTCCTAAACTCGAAATTAGACACACTAACAGAGAAGTGCCGATGCTTATGCCTATGATTAGAATGATCGATCTGTTGCTCTTCATCTCCAAAACAACCGTCCATTAAAGGATGAACTGTTAGGCAACCAAAACCTTGAATGGTGCTCACAAATGCTATCTAGTGATAGTAACGCAATCATCAGATAACAGTATCAATGAAACTTCTCTCAACGGGCATGTCATTAGTTGAGAATCGCAGATTATTGGCGTTGGATGAGTTTTGTTGCAAGTGATATCGAAACAGAAATTGACATAACTGATTCACGAACCTTGCTGGGAGCGGACGCGGACGCAATTTAATAGCAAGAAATGGACCAAATTTATCTCCTATTGATGACCTCCTATTGATGTAGTGCCTTTAATTCGTTCCTATCACTGCTCTTATTCATCTTATCAAATCAAGCATATCGAAGGGTCAATGCTATATCCTAAATACAAAAGGCGTTAGGATTGTATAGTTAAGTGTCTATTGCTCTCTAAGGTCCCTTATCAGCTCTTATTAGTTTTTGTCAGTTTCTATCAGAGAGTACTTGTGAGCACGTCACATTCTACATCGCCTATTAAAATGTCATGCTTGCACTATTAACACGAAGGGCGTCACATACCCAGTGGCTCTAGTTATTCTCTAACCTTGCCAGCCCTTGTCGCTTGTTAGCAGTCCTTGCCACGAATCACCTACGGTCCATTCACACTCTACCGCACATGCTAAAGTGCCAAACCCTCCACTGTCAATATGGGGCATTACAGACCTAGTGGCTCTCGCCTTCCTATTCATTTCTAGAAAGCACGCTCAAGGGTTGATTTCAAGAGTAAAGGATTCTTTCAAGTGCGTAGCTATCATGAACATTCACATCCAAATTTTCACTTGAATATTACTACAGGGAATGTGACTTAGTGAACTAAAATGGAGAGAGTCAACAACTGTAGTGATGTCTGATGCCAATTCAGATGTTTTTTTAAAACCCTATCTATTCTTCTGAAGGCTGGTCGCGATGTGATTGAAAGGAACTAAATAAGAATTTTGAGACAAAATTAAGTGAATTCAATCCGAGTCAATGATTTAAACAAGGATCCGTATTTGTTAAAGGCACAGTTCATGATGAAAATGGTTTCTGAATTGTCCTCTAGAAATACCCAGTAGCCCGCAGGGGTAACAGGAAGGACGCTGTCTGGTCCGAATACTGAATGGCTAGGGCATAGTGGGAGCCCCATTACAGAACCACCCGGATGCCACGTCCATTGACCGATGTGTCAGACGGGTAAAGAGGCGATACAGATTGCAATCTTGGCATAATTACTATAGTTGAGTCAGAATGTGCTTTTCTGAAGCATTCCAAGATTGTAACACTTATCGGCCACCGTTTCGGCGAGCTTCGCCTTCATCGGGGCCTGAAGTGGTCCAAGATGATGTAAGAGTTGCCGAAATACCACGAAATACACTTCAAAGACTATCGACTCATGACGCCGTATGCGACACTCCTAACTGTGTGATATGCCCCCATGGCAGAGAGGGGTGACTGCATGAAGATGGGGGCGGTCTACTCTGTACGCTGTCAAAGCTCAAAGCTGGATATGAGTACATAGGAGAAACAATCCGCACTTTGTACGTCAAGGAGCATCTAAATGAGCTGGCTGGATCAAGAATGTGTACCACCATAGAAGCTCGTCGGGTTTTGTACCACGCAGGTTTATACTTTGATATTGCTGTGTCCATATTGGCGCTTGAACCCAAGATGGCGGTGCGTAAGACACTGGAAGCGCTTTGGATCACGGCTAAGGACACCCGAACGAACAGAAAAGATGAGTGTGTAACCGTAACCCGTTAGATCGCACCGTTCCTCGACCTTTGTGACCTTTGACTACGGTGAGGTCAGAGGTAGTTTTTCTTGTCGTTTCTAAGTTAAGCTAGTCCGAGGGTGGTCGTTCCGCCTTAGTGGACTACAAAGTGGACCACTTTAGGCCCTGACGAAGGCGAAGCGCACCGAAACATTGTCCAATAAAGTGATACAACTTTTTGCTGCTGCGGTCGTTTATCTAACTTTCTACCTCAAAATGCTGAAAAAGCTCGGCTATTTTTGCTGTTACTAGTGTTTTTGTTAATTTATGCTTATGAGTAAACGAATTTTGAGGAACATTCTTGCTTTTTTTTGTCAGCTAGTAGCACCAGGACCCACACGTACGCAACGACCCATTGTATAATAGCTCGTCCAAACACCCCTTCATTTTTCCGATTTTATTTTCGCTTAGAACCCTTTTTGACGATCTTTTCGAAATCTTTTATCACATTGGAGACACCGATTCACGCTTTTTCTTCGCCTACATCGCGCTATTTTCCACGTTACCTTCCACTTTCGTCTTAATCTGTATTACCCAAAATTACCGTGAAATGTGCCTTTAAGGGATCAAGCAATATCCATAGACTTTTCAGAACACCTTTCTTACTTTGCCCTCGTGACATTTCACAATCCTTATCGCGCATACATACTTCTCGCGACTGACCACAAACAGACCCACAAAATTAGCGCTTTGTATAAGTGGAAGATTTTGAAATTTTCGTCGTAGGGTTTATCGAGCGGCTCAATGTAAGAAGGGCCAATTTTTTCCGTGCCTCATTCACAGAAAAGTCGTAATCCTTCTATAAAAACATCATTCTATGAAGCGGGAAAAGAAAAGAAAAGCTAGAGTTTTCCCCAATCACACTTCTATTTCTCAATGGTTTCAGTTGGCCAAAATGGAACGTATGCACTATATCAGGAAATGTCGAGCCGGTGATATGTTTGCGGAAGAGCATGGTGTTACATGGTTGGCCAAAGGAATGCAAAAAATAACGTCGCATCATCCGAAGTACGAGTTTCTTCAGTTCAACAAATATATGTTGAAAAATAACACAGCATATCAGTCTCGCTCCACGTATGCACATGTTAACTAATTTTCATCGAGTCACATTCAATGCCATTGTGATCGCAGTTGAACAGCGTTACCCGAGATTTGTCTGTACCTTTGAGCACATTTATAACTAGTCAGCAAAAGTAAATGTTTTGATTTTGCTTTTTCTTGTAGAGGATGGTTGCAAACAACAAATACAATGTGACCATGCATGCAAATAGATTAAAAACTAGGTATGACGGAAAGGCTAGTTCCTTCATTGTAATTCACGTGTATTGAGCACGTAACGTGGCTACGCATAAGTGACCGGGATTACATAAACAAGTACTTAGATTCGAATGACAATTAAATTTCTGACGTAACCCTGAGAAACGAAAGATTAATATGACATACTCAGAGTACCCCTTGAGAAAAGGCTAAGTAAGAAAAAAGAACTGTACACTAACTCGGTGCTATACATACATTGATTCTGCTAACGAAGACATCTTCAAATCGACGCGCACAAAATGAGCAAAATACTCAGACAATTCATCCACCTCACCGTCGGGTGTAGGTGGTCGTCGTACAGCTTGGACGCTACATGCCACTGGTATATCACGTCTGAAATGTGCAGATTGCAACAGCATAGCTACCGTGATCATTTTGATAAATTAAAGGTGAGTTTTAAAATATCTGGGAATGATCACAAGCTGAACAAGAACCTGTCTAGTAGACACAAACGAAGAACATCCACATCAACGTCCTCAGGAAAGCGTATTTGACTCAAAACGGAATACAAGTCATCGATAAATGGGATTGTCTGGTGTTTCCTGAAATGGACGGTCTCAACTATGTGAAAGCGTGAGATACAAAGGTGAAGGTTATAGTTTCAAGTATGAAGCTGTAAAAGGTTAAACGATTTTGAAGTAAGGAAAGATCTACCTTGGTACCAAGTATGGAGTCCACTTGTTTTGTCGCTTCCATATGGGCTGACGGCATTCCATCTCTTTCGCATCTTTTAGTGTCCTGTTGGTTTTACTGAGATTTCCAGAGTCCGACTGAAATGGTCCTATTACCGGTACACAATGTAAGGTTCAAACAGAATGCACTAACCAAAAAACTAATCTACTCGTCGAAAATTATATCTCATGGTCATCACAAATTCTGCTAAAAGTGCGTGGGTAAACATTATTGAAAAAATAAATGAAGAAAGAAGAATGACTGAAAGAATGTGGAAAGGGAAATCAGTAATATGAGGAAGACGGCGTTTCAAGAATTCAGGCATGGGCAGGCATATTCACAATAAGGATTTTGTTTAACACGCTTTCCAACCACACAAAACAACTTTGAAATTTGTCAGTTTCTTTTTATTATTAAACCCGTCTAGAAACACATACTAATCACCATCGATCCTGTTCAAATTAATGCAGGGACCTTCGAGTCTCCCGTAAGTGCCCTCCACCGAAGCGTCTAGAAACAATTTCTATCGATGTCAAAATTGCTGCAGTGCTGATACCTTACACGTTGATTAATTAACTGAGTGAATTTGCAAAAAAAAGCAGGCCGACTTTGAGACTACCGTTTACTCAGACTAGACCTCAAGAAGTGTGTTTGTAATTATATATTATTATAATTATAAGCCTGAAAAGATCATTACNCCTAATAAAGCTCATTTACAAACCTCGTGAAGAGTTCCAGAAATAATAAACACAGTAATACAACTATGCCGAGGTTCATAAAAAGCCGTACTTGGAAGTTGAAGGGTTTGATACGTGATACGTAAACGAGTAAGTGGCAGCAACTAACGCAAAGAATTGCGCTCCATATATGAGGAAGTTCAGGGGTTTACATCAATGTGAAGGGGCGACACTTGTAGTAAACCTAGTTTCAAATTCTCTATTTGTTGAATGAGTAGCGAAAGCACCAGTACAATACGTATGAAAAGAACGTAGGTTGTTTGCAGGTGTTCCAGAAAAAAAAGTTCTATGGACTCAAATGAATGACAGGACCCTGTAAATTGGCTGAAGATTGAGATAAACATAGAGGGGAAAAACAGTTTCAACTTTCTTTCAAAAAAACAACCAACGCGGAAAGTAAGTAGCAAACTGACCTCTAATGATCGCTTTGATTTCCAGTCGATAACCAGGCATTCCAAAATCTTCATCGCTTTATCGAGAACCACATCGGCAGTCGACCCTTCAGATGTGCTAGCGATGTCCAAGGAAAACTCCTCAGAAGCCATCTAGAACCTCAATGCGTAAACCATAACGATTTGAGAGGTAGATCACTAGTGGTGCGTATGCAGATGTGGACGTGCTGATAATGATGGAGGAAATATAAAATTTGATAGGCAATTACTCAAGAAAAAAGCACGAAATTAAACCCGTTCACCACCCTATGGAGATTCCGATCGATAATCCTAGCCACCTCGCTAACGGTGCTACGTAGAAATATCTCAAGAAGTGCCCGCACAATTGCGTACTGCTGGCGATATATCGTAACCTCACGCCTAATTTTATTCAAATGTACTTTAAATCGAATGTGTTCGGGTGCTTTGTTCCAAATCGTCCTATTCACTTCATGGTGATATTAATATCTGTTTTGTTTGTTTACTTTTGATGACTCAACTTTCACTATTACATCATTCGAGGGTGCACTATTCAAATGCATGCTAGGCTTATCTCTCCTACCGAATGAGGTAAGGACTGTGACGACGAACCTGCGACTGCGCCAACTAGTCTCCTAAGAATAACTTTTAATCATTCCAAAACTATAAAGCTAGCAAGGCATTCTTTTTGAAGAACTTTATCATAGAATCAAGATGAAACCAACTGTGTCGTATTATTAACTGTGCACGCCGCTTAAAGGAGTTCGTGGAATTCCGCAAAACCCTACAATAACTGTTCTTTATTTCGTTGCAATTGAAAGACAGATATTCGGTTAAATGTCAGTCACTGTGATGGATGCTTAATTAGGTTCTTGTTCACAAGTCGGGGCCAATCTCGTCAGAAATCCTTTGTAAAAAATTGGAAAAAACGTGCATGCTGAGCAGATATATCACTGTGTGAAGAACGCCATTTTTCCCGTCTCAGGAACTTATGTTGTATTAAAGTTGCCTTAAGCAAAAGACAGCTTTTCGGTCAAATCTGATCTATTTGATGAATATATGTTTCAGGTTCATTATTGCTCAGATTTCCTGATGATGTATCCTTGTCGTTATTGTTTATCTTTTTAGCTACTAAAAACGCATATAAAAATCGTATTCAATACAGTTTATTCCTCGTTATTTCAAGGAATGCATATCGGCATTACAATGAACTTCTGAATGAGTGGCGTTCAGGAAAAGCAAGTTGACTGATCTCTCATGGAATACGAACCTCAGAGGCAATGATTCAATCAGATTCGAAAATTGAGCTATTTGGCTACCGTGGAAGAGGATGAATATTGACAACCTTAAATTTGGAATTTGCCACCCGTCGACTCAGAAAAAAAGTCATGTAAGTAAAGGAGCAGTCACTCAAATCGTCTAGAATCCCAGTCAGTTATAGTTTCGGAACAACCATCATACGGGAATAGCGCAGAAGCTTTACCTTAATCTTGCGTTTATTAAACAATAAGGCTAGGAATGAAGTGCAGCGCGGCAGGAGAAGTAGATGTCCGGTTACATAAGAGACCAATAATTCTGGGTTGCTTCCTCTTCCTGCCAACTTTGGATACCATGGTGAGAGAGCTCCTAGAAGCAACCGTCTAGGCTTAAGACATCGACTAATAGCGAAACATAGAAATTTATAACGGGTGCAATGTCGGCCACAAGTGTTGACACTCTTGAATGTTTTCACAAGTTTCTGTGCTATAAATTGTGCTAGTCAATCATAGGCTTCTTGGAAAAATTAACGAGTTAAAAGGTTCTGGTAGCTAGGTTACATTCACCGCTAGCAATCTGTAGACCTAAATTAACGCCTAGGATAAACTGGTGTGCCATCGATGATCTTTGTGGTCAAAGGTGCTCTAGTAAGACAAGGTGCAGAGGATAGTGGTAATGTCAACGTTTTCTCTCTGCAGAGTGTTACAAAATTATGGGCGCCAAATTCAAAAGCTTTTAAGACAAGAATAATCTATTGATTTCACTTCTCGCTATCATTTAGTTGCACAAGCGGTTGTTTTTGCAATTTAGGCAGTCACCTAGGTAGGACTTTTAATAATCATTGAGAGGTCAAGGCTTATTCATGTCACTTGCAATCATTCGCATGTTGAGGCGGAAAGGCATAAAAGTTGTTGTAATGCCAACAGTGACTGAACAGAAGGCCATTAAACGTTGTAAGGAAGCAGAACCAAACGAAGGCAAAGCAGGGAGGCGTAGAAAGGTCAGTGTTCTTAAAGATAGGACTATCACAATGCACTGCTTTGCATATAATACAGCCACCCACGAATCTCACCAAAACTCAGGTCCCAGGGCAACTCACGAAAAGCTCAATATGGAAATGGTGTCCTACTCGGACCGTAACTTGTAAGCCACTAACGAGTTCCATCTCAATAACATGGACAATTTTCCTCTCATCTTTCCGAAAAAGGTCACTTTGCCTGTTTGGCAAAATGATACAGCCACCCTCATTTTCCCCTCGTTTTCCATTTTCATCTCATACAGTTATGTCAAGTTTTCCAATTTCAGGTGATGGGCAAAGAAAAGTTTCTATCCGATTTTGAGAAAGGTCAGGTTCCTGCAAAAGAGGAGTAGGGACTGTCACATCGCAAAATCCCTCGAGTTTGGGCCGATGACACTTGTTTGTCGACAATTTCGTCGGGAATCCTGAAGTGTATGTAACCAGAAGAAGAACGGTTTTTTTTCCGTTCTGAAAGAATATAACGATTTTGAGAGAGGCGTCGAATACGACGAAGTTATGTACGGAAATCAAGTCCTCTTCGAAGCTCAATATTCCAATGATTACTGTTTGGAAGGTGATAGAACAAAGTCTGGCTTACCGCTGAGGAAATAGAAATGAAGAAGGCATCTTTTATTACCGAAAAGCATCACGACAACCGGGTCGATTTTGTCAGTAATTGCATCCGAGCCGACTAAGGCGCCTTTTCATGGTTTGTCGTTTACTCTTCTTTCTCTTTATATTTCGTTCTTCACGTTGTTTTTTATGAGAAAAGTTTAACTGTGATGCCCCGTATGAAGGCGGCTCTACTGGCACGATCTGAGGAAAAATAAGCATCAGTTTTTCAGACAAAATTTCAAGGGAGAAGGAGTCATGGTATGGGCGACAACTTCTTCTCGTTAACGTGTTCATTTATGGTTTGTTCCGAAGCTCAGCTTTTCCGTGCTCTTCTTCCTTTTTGGTATCAGAATCAGCAGCAGAACCTCGTATTCATGCAAGATAATGCCTGATTTTCTCCAGCCGCAGCACCTATGCCCGGCTGTTCAGTCGGCACCAAATCCCTGGCTGGCTAGCAGCCTGGACTTGAATCTAACGGAAAACGTGTGAGGATTCGTGACAAGAGAGATTCGAGAACAAAACAAGCAGTTAGAGTATCAGTGAACTGAAGGAAGCAATCGTCACCAAGATGACCGGGAACTAATTTATAGCCCTTACTTTAGCTTGTGCAGTCGTATTTTCGAGATAATCCGAAAGAATGGGGCTCGACTAACCACTAATCATGCGACGTCCTCTCTTTGTTGTCATTTAGCTGGTGAATGAATTGGTTTGGTCAGTGGCTGTAACATTTTGGAAAGTAGGCAGAGTGACCTTCTTCGAGAAGATGGGAAGATCGTCTCCGTTATTGAAATGGAACTCGTTGTTGGTCTCAAGTTACAGTCCGTGTAGGGCACAATTTCTATATTAAGCCGTTTCCTGAGTGCCACAATAGCATGAGTGCAATGGCAGTAACCTCTAGGTTTACGGGCAAGCAACACATTGAAAGCGAGGGCACGCGCGTGGGCCTTCGCAATTCGTAACATTAATGACTGGACAATATCGCATTTGTATGTCATCTTCCATACACTATTGGTTGCTAAACGCAGACTAGATAGTCACAACTGTCAACTACCCCTTTGAGCCTCAGCACTTGGCCATTGTCTTTAGGGAAAGACGTATAAAAACCATAACTCGAGTGGCTTCTGAACGGCAGCACATATGGAAATTCCGCTTTGGGGATCCTTTCAAAATACACCGGTCCCGACTAGTTCCAAGTTGTTCATCAGTTGTTTCCTTTACGTCTATCATCTTTTTTATTATTATTCCGTGCTTTCATAGCGGTAACGTTAACCACTGAACCTCCCCCCTCCCCTCCCCCACATCGTTGCCCTTTTTGATTTTCACGTGCTCCGCCTTCTCAAACATCATTTGTTGGAAGAAATTTGTAGCTCATTATAATCTGAAAAGTCCATAATTGCCGAAAGATTATGACAGTTCATGACTTTTCTGAATCAGTTTCCTGGCTTTTGAACAAAAGGTATCAGTGGTTTGCATTTCGTACGGAGAAGCAGACCGTTGTTTTCTCTTATGAATTTATACAGAGGTGAAAATTTTGAAAAATTCTAGAAATGAATTCAAAATTTCTCTAGTTATCAACTTTTTGCCAANCTAATAGTCGTTTAAATTCAGTTCAACATACAAGTTACGAATAGTGTAAGGACGTACAAGGTCGCAGCGCAAGCGCCAATCTGCTAGAATGCGATTTCAAAGATTCGTATCAGAATTCTTTTTATCCCAAATTTTGGCTTTTTGGAGCCTTTAGCAAATTCAGAATTGACACATTTGCTGAGTGATTCACTCAGCTCCAAGATTTTCTCAAGCATGTGCTGTGTACATTACGTCCTCATTTTTTGGTTTTCGGATTCTGAGATTTTCTCTTTAAACGTCTTCCTAAACATAGTGTTCATATCAACTAAATAGAAGTGATCATAATGGAAAAGATCATACAGCCGTTTTACCGCCCAGAAAACGATGACACGTTTGTTATGGACTTTCCCACTTGCGTATTTTCTAGGTGAGCCAACCACATGCTCGCGCTTTCTCCGCATCTTATCCATACAACGATTACTACACTGTTTTGCATAATCATACCGCCGCCCATGAATTTCACCAAAGCTCACGTCACCGCCACATCAGGAAAAGGCTTATTATAGAAATTGTGCCCTACACGGACCGTAACTTGTAGACCAACAACGAGTTCCATTTCAATAACACAGACGATCTTCCCATCTTCTCGAAGAAGGTCACTCTGCCTACTTTCCAAAAT